AGATTGGGGGGGGGAGGGGGGGATGTACTCATAGTCGTGCATGCCGTAGTCGTTAGACCATTGACCTCGCATCCCTACAAAAGCCGGGACGGAGCACGTCGCATTCTCACCGGACGAGGTGGTGGGGGGGGATACAAGATCATTACACACACGAGAGAAACGACGACGGGGATGTAGGGAGATGTCCACGACGGCTAGGGTGGACACGTGAGGGGGGCATGGGGGCGAAGAAATACCTAAAAAACACAAACGGCAAAAAAAACGGTGGCGATTGACAGCACGCAGAGACGATGCATCTTGCCAAGCGTAAGCAGGCCGTTGCGGTAGGTCGACGACTCAAACGTTTGCCCAATCAGCGCCACACGCCAAGGCCATTCGTTCTGGCACAACCAGAGGAGTCTACGGGTGTGCTCTCGTCATCTCGTTGCAAGTGTCCTGGGCTACGGGGGAGGGGTGGGGTGAGGCCGGAAGTTGGAGATCATGGCAGGAGCGCCGTGTGCCCAACAACCGCCGCGGAAATGAAAACATCTTACCAGCAAATCAAAACCAAGCCCTGACCATCCTCACACAGACACGACACGCAAGGCCATCCCATCGTCCCGGATAGCCGTCAACCGAGCCAGGCCACGAACGCACCCGGAAAAACCGTATCTCGCCGGAATAGCCGGCACCCGAGCCAGGCAAGAAAACCCAGGAATGACAATGTCTAGCCGGAGTACCCGGTAACCTCGTAGTCCCTCATCTACGAGGGGGAAAAAAGCGGATCGACAACTCAAGCAACCCCGTGTCATGAGACAGCCATCTAAAAAACAACCCTTCCCGCCCCCAAACACACCGGAGAGCTCCCGGAGATCATTCGGAGAAGATGACCCCGCCCCCGCCCCCGCCCCCGCTCCCGCTCCCGCTCCCGCTCCCGCCCTCTCCCCGCCCTGCGGCAACGCTGTCGCAACCACCACGCCTGCAGCCGTCGCCGTCGCCGTCGCCGCCGCTTGCCCGTCGGGCCTATCGAGCAGGCTGCCCGCGCCAGGGTCTAGCACCGGAGGTCGGTCGGACTGGTACTGGGCGGAGAAAGGCAGCCCTTCCGCTCTGAGCTCGTGGTAGGTTTCGACGAAAAGAGGGAACTCCCGCTGTGCCGTCCGTCAAGGGGGCGGGGGGGGTCAGGGTTGTGTACGGAACGAGGGGGGCTAGGGGGCGTCAAGAGAGAAGGGACGACAGCGTACGCGTTCCTGTGGAGGCAGAAAACGGATTTGGACGGACCATGTCTCGGCCCAACAATCACTCGACACTAAGATATTAAGGTCCTAACGTAGACTTGACGTAGACGGGGGGGGGGGGGGGGAGTGGCCCCTAAAACCGTGGCCCGGGAGGGGGGGGCCGGGGGCCCTCCGGGGGGGGGTAAAAGGGGCCCCAAAATTGGGAAAATTATTTTGCGGGGCCCAAAACCCCGCCCGTTTGGGTGCCCCCCCAAAAAAAAACCCCAAAGGGAAAAAAAAACGTCCTGGTTTCCCCCCCAAAAAAAAACTCCAAAGGGGGAAAAAAACGTCCTGGTTTCCCCCCCAAACAAAACCC